TAATAACTCTGCATAATCTTTTTTACAGCAACTTAAAACATTAACTTAAGATGACTTGACAATTAAGAGAAAGGTATTTACAGTATTTTTAATTTATTTGAACTATGTTAAAATCATTTAATATCGGCTCCAGAAGTAATGTTTGGACAAGCCCTAGTGGGATGAAAGTGTTTGTTTTAAGTATACAATCTCCATTTTTTAAAAAAACAACGCAAACAGTTCCTGTTAAAACTTAGGACGAACAACAGCAACTGGAAAATTTGGCAAAAAGATTAATTGCATTACATCAGAATGACAAATTTTCCTGGCTGGACTGCTTGATTAAAGAGCTGCAAATATTGTTCATGTTCTTAAAATAGATTCTTAGTTTAATTGGTTGTGTTCCCTTTAGTTTCCTAAAGCCTTACTAGATGGGTGAATTTCACCCATATGCAGTGTAGTTCAGATCCTTTAAAAGGAAAGTAACCCTTTTGCGGTATTGCCACTGACTAGCTAATTCAATCCTTGCAGCGACAGTCACATTAACACCAGTTTTTTAAAAACGTGTTTTCATTCCAAAACCTTTATATAGCTAAGTAGGAAAATACCCAGGGGCAGGAGAGGTAAATGAACAACAGCCACATGGCGATGCAAAGAAGTAGACCGAGAGTCCTAAAAGGATTGTGAAAATATGTGAATGGCCAGAGAAGGGTTTAATGCTGTGTAGTTAAAACATTTTGGCTTCTGCCTTCCTTGGCAACTTCATCTGCATCACTGAACTCAGCTGGAAACGACAGCTTTTTGTCACCATATTGATAACACCCATCTCCAGACCCTCAGACCTCATTCGTAGGCTTCATGCCCTAGGGGCTGAGGTCCCTTCGCCCTCTTCAAAAAATATTTGTGATCGATTATGTGGGACAGGGCTTACCTAGAACCCCTCTCCCCATATTTTATTCAAGTTGGCACTCCTGGCTTCATGCAAATGTTGAATGAGGAGCCCTGCATCCCAATCCCACCTTCTGGAACTGGTCCTCCAGGTTGGAGCAGAACCATCCAAAGCTGGTGCCTCCACACACCAACCTGAGATCGTACCCAAAGGCTACCATGGTTCATAATGTCAAATGCCAGAATGAACAGGGTGGAACTCCCTGTGTCTTTCCCAGCATAGGTTCAGCCTGACCAAGGCAGTGATCCTCCTAACAACATTCCAGGTTGGTCACCATTATTTCCATATTGCAGATTCCATGGGTGGGCAGGAGGGACAACATGAGGACTGAGGCCTTCCTGATTCCACAGTTCAGCTACTCAGCCTCTCTGCCTCACTAGCACACAAGCTGGGAAAATCCTGACTAGCCATTAAGAGAACAGGACCTGCCACTGAATTATTGCCAGGTTGCTGTGATTTTCGCTTCAAAGTAGAGATTGGCTTATCAGTCTCACTACTGCCCAATATGAAAACCAGCGTTTAGGCCTATGACAGCCATTACTTGCTCAATCCAATGGCTAGTGTGTTCAGCGGCACATCATTTTGTTTACCAAGTGCTTTGGTATTGCGTCTCTACAGACTTAGCAAGCACCTACTGTGCATCAGAGAGATTGCCTGTGTGCCTGTAATTCTGTTTTGCATTACAAAACCTACAGCACATCCCCCCACCCCTCCTCCAACCCTTTATTAAACTTAATAAGCTGTTTTTTGTGCAGTACACAATTCTAGCGCCGGCTGCAAAGCCTGCATAAGGATGCAGAGGCTGTGTTGTCAGAATCCCTTAACAGCCGCCACAGAATCACAAGTGTTATTCATGGTATGGTTAATGCTCCTCACGCAGACAGGAACCTGGAGAGCTTTTAGCTGACCTTGGTTCATCAATAGGCTAACATTGGAGAGGGAAGAAACTCCTGATGAAGCACAATGTTCACTTCAGTTCTCAAATTTCATTGTATTCCGCAGCCTCCCTCTTCTCTCCCCCCCCACCCCCGCCAAAGTGTAGGGATCTAGCTGGAATTTGCAAGGAGATTGACCTTATGAGCACTGATCAATAAAAATATGTAGAACTGTAGAGTTGGAAGGGACCCAAAGGATCATTTGGTCCAACCCCCTGCAATGCAGGAATATGGGGATCGAACCTGCAAATGTTATCAGCACCATGCTCTAACCCACTGAGCTCTGTAATGCACTGTACTGTATGCTCCTCTGGGAGCCTTGGTTGAACTGTGGCAAATGTTTCCATTAAACAACGGCGGCACCTGCCTCCTAAAAGAAACCCAGCCTATAGGTATCAAGGGACGCGGGTGGCGCTGTGGGTTAAACCACAGAGCCTAGGACTTGCTGATCAGAAGGACGGCGGTTCGAATCCCCGCGATGGGGTGAGTTCCCGGTTGCTCAGTCCCTGCTCCTGCCAACCTAGCAGTTCGAAAGCACCTCAAAGTGCAAGTAGATAAATAGGTACTGCACCGGCGGAAAGGTAAACGGTGTTTCCGTGCGCTGCTCTGGTTCGCCAGAAGCGGCTTAGTCATGCTGGCCACGTGACCCAGAAGCTGTACGCCGGCTCCCTCGGCCAATAAAGCGAGATGAGCGCTGCAACCCCAGAGTCGGCCACGACTGGACCTAATGGTCAGGGGTCCCTTTACCTTTATAGGTATCAAACATTGAAGAAACACAGGTCTGGTTTGAGGAGTGGAGAGTAGCTGAACAAATGGATTTATTGCCCCTGTGTTGACCATACATTGATAGGCACACCTTGCTTATCTTAACTAGTTCCTAATGCATGTGACATTCAGGTGCCTCGGTGCTATTTGACGTGCACCTTAATGATAGCAGATGGACCTCTCAGCTTGATAATTGGTGATGAGCGCTGGAGATGTGTATAGAATCAAAGATTTGATGTTGCCGGCCCTTTAGAACGATCATCTTGAGTGCCTTGATGCTGGCGGGTGGGGGCGCATTGTCACGTTGAGTAAATGGAAATAATTGCGCCTGTATTGTGTCAAGCTTTGAAGATCAAATTGGCACAAGACCAGTGGCTAGCAGAGCCAAATAGTGGAAGCTGAAGGATAGGCTTTCTGCCAGCTAGGTGGCTCTGTTCTGGAGTCTTTCGTCTTCATTAATGAAGTGGGATTGGCCTGTCACCTTTCGACAGTTTAAAGCAGGCTTTTCCTCCCATCAGATGCAGTGGGACTGTGGGGTCTCTTGCCAAAAATTAAAAATCTGCTCTTTGCACTCTTACTGTTTGGCCTTGAGTATCAGTCTGCAAGGGACACGGGTGGCGCTGTGCTCTAAACAGTTTCTATCCAAATGCAATTTTGGTTTTAAATGGTAAGGTAGTCTCTAAGGGAGTATATTGTATTTAATTATTTTATTTTAATTATTTTGTATTTTATATGTCTTGGAAGGCGCCCAGAGTGTCTGGGAAAACTCAGCCAGATAGGTGGGGTATAAATAATGAAATAATAATAATAATAATAATAATAATAATAATAATAATAATTGTTATTATATTTTCTGTGAACCGCCCTGAGACCTCTGGGTATAGAGGGGTATATAAACTCAATTAATCATCATCATCATCTCAACCAGGGAGACTAATTTTCTCCCAATTGAAGAACCTGACAGGCAGCTTCTCACCTCATATCTTACAATAGTATTGGGGTGACAATGAGGACCTTCAGTTGAGCCATATCTGCAGTATCGTGCAGTACACAGGCCATAGCATGCAATGGGTCATGTTTCTTATACATACACAGGCAATAGAATGGCGACCCCTGCTCCTCTGCCATGAAACACCTGTGCAGTGTGCAGGGAATTCTGGGACATAGACAGAGTTCACACTGGGCCCCATCAGGCCTGTTGCAAATTACCCAGCTCTCTGTGGGAACTAATAGTCAACACATAGCACTTTCCCATGGCCCCATGTTGCCAGGGAATGCCAGTTGCGCTGGGCAAGCTGTCGTTCCAGGAAGCTTGCATGCCATTACTGATTGCCTCCGCGAGGAGCCGTTGGCATGCTTTCAAGGAAACCACAGCTCCCTGGAACACACTGGCGGAACTGCTGCTCCAAAGGCGTTATTACTGCTTGGCGGCAACAGCTCCCATTGGACATGTTTCATTTTGGTTCCTTCCCAATTACCCATTCAGCGAGAGCTGTCTTCATGTATGAGCAGTCCCATCATTTCTCTTTATTCCCTGACTGTCATGATGACAAAGCCTTCTCTTTATGACAGGGCTTACAAAAGGTCATGTGTAATAGCTCTACAAAGTTAATGGGCAATAAATCTATAGCCTTGGGAGCCACCAGTATGGCTTTCTCTTTTTTTAGTTCTCTGTGATTGCCATGTGGTGTCTGCCAAACCATCTCTTGAACTGTTAAGTCGACGTCTGGATTTCTGCCCGGCACTTAGATGGTTCCCATCGTCTTGGGCCTGCTTTGGAACTTAGCAGCGGCAAGACGCCCCCTCCAAACCATCGCTTTTCTTATACAATAAAAAAGGGTGGGTGGGTGGGTGTCCCCAGTTGTAGGTAACAGAAAGACAAAGTCCCAGGAACACAATTTAGCAAAATAATAATAATGAAAGTAATATGTATGTAAACGTGCACTGCAGTGAAAGAATACAATGATCTACGAATAATACAAGCCAAAGCCATCAGCATTCCTTTTAGTTTTGCTAAGTTGGGTTGCTGTGACCGTCCCCCCTTATAAAACGCCTTTATTGTTGTTGGCATCTGTCTGTCTCAGGAGAAGGAGTGCACCTTTGGGGGGTGGAGAGTTACAGCACCTGCTGAGGCATCTAGAAGAACCATATATCCATTGAGACTCAGGCCTCCACTCGGCATAACTCCACCTGAGTTGTTTTTGGCTCTCTGCAGATCAGGCTGCAATGCTGGAAGCCAGTTGTCCTGCGTTTCCTAAATCCACTTCCATCTTTCATTTATTACAGAGGCTCTCCTATGCCAGCCCAAGGAAATTATTGGCTAGGGCACTGACACGGGCTGAGATCATGTTTTGCTTTTTTTTTATTTAAAGGAATCCTTCAGCCATGGGGCACGGCTGCTTCTGTTACGCGCTGCTGCGTTCCATCCCGGTTGCCGTGTACATCGTCTTGGTCACGGGCCTGCGCTACCACCTCTTCATCTGGAGCGTTTTCTCGCCAAAGCTTCTCTACGAGGGGGTGCACGTCTTCATCACGGCAGCCGTGTGCACTTTCTTCACAGCCATGGATCACAACCACTTGCGTAAAGTCCAAGACTGAAAGCAACCGTTAAGGCAGAGTCTTGCATAATTTCGAGCAACAGACTGAATTTCTACTATGGAATGTGGATTCTTGCCTTTAGATTGATATTTAAAAGTTAACTGGGTAATCTATTTTTGGCAAACACGTTTATACATTCATACATATCAACACACACACACAGAGAGAGAGAGAGAGAGAGGTTGCATTGCAGAGTCTGTCTTGAAGTCCTGTTCCAAGCGTAACAGGCCATGCGGTCGGGAACTGTATCTAAATTTCGGTTGGACTATAAATGGATTGTTGGATCGTGTCCCTTCCATGCCAGTTTTCATTGCCTGCCTTAACTACAGTTAAGCATCCCATTGGCATAGATGTTGATTGCAATGGAAACTAGCCAGGCTCTGTTCTCCATCTTACTAAACCAGAGCTTGAAGCTGGTTAGTAGGCCCTGGTCAAGTGGGCATTTGGCTTGACTTAACTAGGATTAATACCCATTGCTGACTGTTAAATGGTGGTTATAGTAATCAGTGGCAATTGATGCTGGAAGAGGTCACAGGCTGCCCCCGATTTCTTAATTGCACCACAGTTGTGTATTCACTACCTGGGTTTGAACATCTGAACAGGATCATCTCTTGAGAAGTTCTTACTGGTCTTCATTCCTTCATATTGGAGTTTAGATGAAAATCTACCAGGCTTTAACCGATTGCTGGGGGTAGGGTTCTCTCTATCACTGGGACTGTATGTTGAAATTTTATTCCACTCCTGCACTGCATTTCTCATTTGTTAGTCATAACTTGAATAAGTAAAGTTTTTATTAAATTCCATGGAGTGCTGGCTGATGGACCTCACTCAAAAGGTTTAAACTGTGAAGAAGATTCTCTCCAAAGCAATTACTCGTATTTTTGTTGTTGTTCCTTTGATATACTCTGAACGTGATGGCTCACAATGTGACAGGGTGCTGTGAACTGGAGATTAGACATACACACATACATTTATACACACACGCATCACAGTTCTATGAATGTAGCTCTCAGAGTTTCCTGTCGTTTCCTGCAAACAGCAGTCAAAGACTATGAACGTGCTCTGGCAGGCTGAAAAGTGCTGGCATATCTGTAAATATGTGTGTGAAATTCTTTATAAGCATTACTGGAATGTGTTTTTTATAGGGAAAAGCAACTAATTCCATTATTTTTGATAGCTGAATTGTAGCATGGAAATGTTACAAGTTATATATGTAATTATATAAATAAGCTATCGGCGAATGTCAGTATACTTGCAGCTGACAGCAAGCTTTTCTTAAGAAATGCAAAATCTATGTTTTAAAAAAAGAAGAGTTATATTTATTTATGCTAACTTTAACTCTCCTGGGTGAGACCTTATTTTTTGGTATTAGCGTATGTTCAGAGGCTACCTTTCAGAGAATCCAGCCCTTGTGGGGTGAGAGGGAGCTGGTTGTGGGTGCTTAATCACATGATGTTAGAAGGGGTGTGTGCTGCATTTATCTGCCTGTACTTACCCTGCGACTCATTCTCAGATCATGGAGGCAGGAAAAGCCCATAGGCACAATACAGCCTGGCCCAAACTTCATATTCTCTGTTTATAGTGTGTCAGGCCAAAGGTCATTCACATTCTCAAGTTACACACTCAAGTATTATCCAAGCAAGCCCCATATTATTCAAGCTTCTTGCGTTTGGTGAAATGGTGTCAGATCTAAACGTCTAGACGAGGTATACCATATTTTTTTGCTCTATAAGACTCGCTTTTTCCCTCCTAAAAAGTAAGGGGAAATGTGTGTGCGTCTTATGGAGCGAATGCAGGCTGCGCAGCTATCCCAGAAGCCAGAACAGCAAGAGGGATTGCTGCTTTCACTGCGCAGCGATCCCTCTTGCTGTTCTGGCTTCTGAGATTCAGAATATTTTTTTTCTTGTTTTCCTCCTCCAAAAACTAGGTGCGTCTTGTGGTCTGGTGCATCTTATAGAGTGAGAAATACGGTACTTTCCTTCTCCCGTGCCGTGGAAGAACAGAATGCTTTGTGCTGTGAGCAACGGTGATTTACAAGGTGTTTTCATTCCTTCCTTCAGAGATGCAAGCAAGGACCGCAGAAGCACTAACAATGGGATTTAAACAGCATCTCTGCATTTGCAGCTGTTGATCTCTTATTGTTTTTAGCTGCACGGTTCTGAAAGCATTTGATTATTTACATGTTATTGCAAACTCTTGGAATACCAAGCAGGAGCAGAGCAAATAACGCTGCTGCTCTGGCAAACAGCAATGCTAATATTTTTTCCTACTTTAAAAAAAGAAATTTTCTCACTATATTTCTGGGCGGTGTTTTCCAAGTGGAACTGTCTGCCTCCAGAGCAGGCCCTCTCTCCCCGCATCTCAATTTGAGTCACTGTTCCCATTCAGCCACAATTGGAAGGAGGAGAAACTGGAGGTGCAATGAGCAGACTCCTCTGAGGACAGGCAGTTTTGCTCTGTACAGGGAGGGAGGCAGTTGTCAGAGGTCCCTCTGCTGGAAGCAGGGGGTGGGTGCTCACACCTGGAGCTTACCTGCATGCCGTGACATAGTAGGTAAGTACATTGGGCTTACAGGAGTCTTTGATTGGTTTCTTTAAAATTTTAATACTTATATTTCTAGTGCAAGAAGCTAATGTGCCCCAGTGCACAATTTGGCGAATTACTGCTCCGGAGTAAACGAACAATTGAATCTTTTTCCAATAAGAAAAAATAGCTTATAAGAAACATTCGAATCATGCCACATGTAAATACAGTTTGCGTTTATCTGAGCAACCACTCTGGCCTGTATATATGCTAATATTTAAGATAGGGTGGCAGTTTTTCAGGCAGTGATTTTTAATAGGTTAGATAAGAATCTTGTTTTAGTTTCAATAACAAAGAGTCTCTCGGGGCCAAACTAGATGAGATGCAGGAGATCTGAATCTGGATCTCCTGGTGTTTTTCAGCTCTATTCCAATGCTGCAACTTTGCACGCTCAACTAGACTGGGCCTGGGGAAGAGGCTTTAATTCCCAGCGTGTTTCCCTTTGCTTTGCTGGGGTGGCCTTTGTATAGGTAGCTATATCTTTTTCTTCACAGGGCAAATGACAACTTACGCATGTGCTTTTGATGAGGAAAATGACTTGGAAGGATTGACTTTGCCTTCTCCCATATCGGAGCCTGATCCAATTCTAGAACTCTGATCACAGATCTTCCCCCATCACCTCCAGTTTGGCTATGACCCTGGTTTAAAATGCAACTTGAATGCAGTGTGAACATGTTTTAAAACCTTTCCTCACAGCCTCTCATAAAACGGAGGCCATCACTGCCTATCTCACACACTGACTCAATTCAGTTATTGCACTTCCCATTTGACATCCCAGGTGGAAACCTGCAAACTGATACTGCAAGCCAGGATTACCTCATGATTTGTAAGAATCACACCAGTTTCCCAGTAAGGTGTTATAGCAAGCCAGTAACTCTTGTACTGAGGGACGCGGGTGGCGCTGTGGGTTAAACCACAGAGCCTAGGACTTGCTGATCAGAAGGTTGGTGGTTCGAATACCTGTGACGGGGTGAGCTCCCGTTGTTTGGTCCCAGCTTCTGCCAACCTAGCAGTTCGAAAGCACGTCAAAGTGCAAGTAGATAAATAGGTACCGCTCCAGCGGGAAGGTAAACGGCGTTTCCATGTGCTGCTCTGGTTCACCAGAAGCGGCTTAGTCATGCTGGCCACATGACCTGGAAGCTGTCTGCGGACAAACGGCGGCTCCCTCGGCCAATAAAGCGAGATGACCACCTCAACCCCAGAGTCGGCCACGACTGGACCTAATGGTCAGGGGTCTCTTTACCTTTTAACTCTTGTACTAAGATGGGCATGTGAGGAAGGGAGGAACCACACAGGGACATGGTGCATTCCCAATCCAGGAATGTGATGGTTGAACCAAACAATTGAACTGCTTTACTATCTAACAGAATGACCTAGAGCAAAAAATATCTGACTTCTTAGGTCAAGCATTATCAGAGTGGCACAAGACATTATTATTAGAATCATAGAACCGTGGAGTTGGAAAGGCTAGTCAACCCCAGGCAATACAGGAATCTCAGCTAAAGATGACAGATGGCCATCTAACTTCTGCTTGAAACCCTCCAAGGAAGGAGACTCCACAACTTCCTGCGGAAGACTGTTCCACTGTTGAACAGCTCTTACTGTCAGAAGGTTTTCCATATATTTAGTCGGAACCTCCTTTCTTGTAACTTGAAGCCTTTGGTTCGAGTCCTACCTTCCAGAGCAGAAGAAAAGCTTGTTGCCTCTTCCATGTGGCAGCCCTTAAGATATTTGTAAATGACTATCATATCTCTTCTTAGTCTCCTCTTCTCCAGGGCAAACATACCCAGATTAGTACATTCCCTTTTCATCTCCATAGAGGACTCTTGCCTAGTAATTACCAGTCATTGCTTCTGAAAGTTTTGAGCGCTTCAAGTAAATGATCTTGTGTCGTGTCTTTGCATGGGTATGGAGAAAACCAAAAAGGAACCTTTCATTTCATAGTGGCTCCTATGTCCATTTGCCAGGAAAGATTAGGACTCCAAAAACGGATTAAGAAGAAATTAGTGAAGGCATCTTCTTATTTCGCTTAAGGCCTCATTGCACAGTAGATTTTAATTTGTATGCATTAAGATGTTTTCTAAGTATGTCAAAAATATAAAGGTGCAAATTCAACAGACATGTTCACAAAAGCACATCTCAGTCCAGTAGACATGGCAGGGAGCTGGAATTGGCTGCAGTTGAGTATCCCAGCCAATTTCACATAATAATAATAATAATAATAATAATAATAATAATAATAATAATAATAATAAATAATTTTTATTTATATCCCACCCTCCCCAGCCGAAGCCGGGCTCAGGGCGGCTAACAACAATAAAATAATACAAGTACCAACATATACTAATTTTAATGATTTTTGCTTTAGCAGCATCTGTGCACTTGATGCTTTCTTTACACAGCAACATAGACAGGCTTGTCTCTTTCCTAAATAATTTTATGTACAAATGAAATTACAAGAAATAAAGGGAGAACAGCCACAGTGATCGGGGGGGGGCGGGCGGATTGGCTGGGGCTTTTATGCTTTAACACAGCACTGCAAAAGTATTTTGCCGTACATCCATGCTTCTTTGCGTATCCAACTTTAGATCTTAAAGGCATGAACTGTACTTCTCATGCAAGTCTAGTTTGCTGCTGCATATTGTGTGCTGTCTGTTAGGCTGTAGTGGACAGCACAGCGCTAAGTGACCTTTTCATGACAACTCCCAAAGAAAGTTATATTTCTTTTGTTCTCCAGATAGGTCACACGTGGATGTATTGTTCAACCATCCTTTGTGCTAAACGTGGTTTGTGGTCTTAATTCTGAGTGAGACCCTAAAAATACAGCAAAATGGTAGTTTGGCTTGTCAAGCTGAGGTCTGTCCCCATAGGGTGTGACAGCCGCTTTCCACGTTGCAAGCGGAGAAGCTGGAGGGGCAGAGAAACTGCCTTAATCATTGTTGGTTTGGTGTAGATCCTGTTCTTTACCTATGGTTTGCATGCCCACATGGAACCATGGTTTATGGCCAGTATTAACCATCGTTAAGGAAAACAAACCATGGTATAAACTACAGTATGTGCAGCGCGCTAGTTTTGTTCCATTAGAATTCATCTCTTTTCTCAGCTAACATATCTGTTGGATGGGCTTTGCTTTATGATGAATGTCAGAAAAGAAGTGTTGCTGTTTTAACTAGCTTCTGCGCTCGTGAGACCTGCTGCTGTTCAAAGGCAGCTTCCTCCCCAAGAGGTTTGTAACACATCTGTCAGGATTTTGGTCTAA